AAATCTTCAAAATGTTAAGTAAAATCACTTGAAATTGTCTTTTAATAAAAAAGTTAAATGTTTTTAAATAGCTAATTATAACTATTTAAAAAATATTTAAAATAGCCATGTCATGGTTTACCTTGATGTATCTAGAATCAGACTTCCCATCACCTTCAATATTCCCAAGCTAGTTCCAAACATCTTCGCCTCTTAGAAAAAAATATTAACTGCTTTATTGGGGTATAATTTACATACCATACAGTTTACCCATTTGGAAATGTACAATGTATTGTTTTTATGATATCCATAGAGTGGTGCAATCATCACCAGAATCTAATTTGGAATGTTTTTGTCACCCCCAAAAGAAACACACGCTTTAGAGGTCACTCTTCATTCCTCTCCACCCTCTTCCTCATGCCTAGCAACCACTAATCTACTTTCTGTTTCTATAAATTTGCCTATTCTCTGCATTTCATATAAATGAAATCATACAATATGTGATCTTTTTTTTTTCCAGCTTCTTTCACTTAGCATAAGGTTTTCAAGGTTCATCAGGGTATTTCACGTATCAGGACTTCATTCCTTTTTATTGCTGAATATTCTAGAGTATGCATATACCATTTTTATCTATCCTTTTATTTGTTAATGAACTTTTTAGTTGTTTCTGCCTTTTGGCTATTATGAATAGTGCTGTTATAAACTTTAATTTATGTATAAGATTTTGCTTGGACATATGTTTTCAGTTCCCTTGGATAAACACCGAGGGGTAGAATTGCTTGGTAATATAGTAAATATATGTTGAACTTATGAGAAACTGCCAGGCTGTTTTCCAAAGTGGCTGTACCACTTCACATTTCCACAAACTATGTATGAAAGCACCAATTTTTTTCACATCTTTGATAACACTTGTTATTGTCTATATGTTATATTAGTCATGAAATATTATCTATTGCTGTTCTGATTTTCATCTTCCTAATAACTAGTGATAGTGAGTACCTTTTTCTGTGCTTATCAGCCATTCGTCTTTGGAGAAAGGTCTATTCCTGCCCTTCATTAATTTTAAATTACATTATTGTGGTTCTTTTTATATTCTGGGTACAAAGTCCTTGTCATAGAAATTATCTTCAATTTTCTCACATTCTGTGGATTCATGTCACGTTCTTGATAGTGTCATTTGCGGCACAAAAGTTTTAAATGTTTATGAAGGCCAATTTATCTATTTTAATTTTTTTTTCATTTTTGGTTTGGCTTTTGTGTCTGAAAAGGGTTTGCTTCATCCATGGCCACAAAGATTTACTTCTAAATTTTCTTCTCAGAATTGTAGTTTTAGTTCTTACATTTAAGTCCATGATCTCTATGACCCGTTTAGAGTTAATTTTTGTGCAAAGTGTGGATCCAACTTTAGTCTTCCATTATCCCATTATCCCAGCATCATTTGTTGAAAAGATTATTCTTTCCCCCATTGAATTACCTCAGCAATCTGACAAAAAAAATCAACTAGCCATAAATATAAGTTTTTATTTCTGGACATTCAATTATATTCCATTGTTGCATATGTCTAACTTTTTGCCAATACCATACAGCTTTGTATTATGTTTTGAAATTGGGAAGTGAAGGTCTGTCAACTTTGTTCTCTTTTGAGATTATTCTGTCAACTCTGAACCTCTTGCGTTTCCATATGAATTTTAGGATTAATCTGTTGCTTTCTAAAAATAAACAAGCTGGGGTTTTGACAGGGACTTCATTGAAACTGTAGGTCAATTTGGGGAATATAACAACATTATCTTTTGTATGGACTTTCAAATGCCCTCCCAAATGATCTCACTTCAGTCCTTGTCCCCAAAATCTATTTTGCATCTAGAACCCAAGTGATTCTTTGAAAACTTAAGTCAGATCATCTCACTCCTCTGCTTACACACCACCAATGCCTTTCTATTTCACTCAGAATTAAATCTAAAGTCCTTACCAAGGTTCTATGGTCCCACATTTACTTTTCCCCTGCTATCACTCTGATTTCATTTCTTACAATGTCCCCTCACTCATTCATTTCAACTACACCTAACTTATCATTAATCACTCCATGCATGATCCACCTCATATATGTTATACTCTTTCTGTTCACTTTACCTGTATTGTTCTATCTGTAAACCTTTCACTTCCTTCAGGTCTCACTTATGTCATATTATTAGACCCCTGATCTTATACCTGGAGCCATGCCCATTTGATAGTTCTTAGTAAGAAGGAAAAAAACATACATTTATTTAATTCCTACCATCTGTCTGACACAATGCTAGGTGTGCTAAAAGAGTTTGTTAGTCTTTCACAGATAAAGAACTAAGGCCTTACAAAGTTTAATTTTTCTATCAGTCCTACATGGAGGAAATACAGAGTCAACATTCAAACTGAGATCTGCCTTGATCCCTTAATTTAAAATATCATTCTCTCCATCAACTTGAATTTCTGATCTGCTTTGTTTTTCTTCAGAACACATCACTGTCTGACATATAATATCTATCATAAAATGTCATCATATATATATTTTTAAGTATGATCTTCTCTCAATATAATGTAAGTTTCATGAAAACAATAATTTGGTTTTGTTCACTATTTTATTCTCAGTTCTTAGAGCAGTGCCTGTCACATATGGAATATTCAATACATGTCTGGAAAGATGAAGCATGTATTTTAAAAATATCTAATGGCTACAGATAAAACAGCCAATTCTAGCAGGAGTCCATTAGATAATGGTGCATGCAAATAATACATAGTTAAAACTTTTCTTGTCCTTTTATGTTCAATATTTTATATTATTCAATCAGTATGTCCACTCTAAAGGACATGTAAAATGATTCTGAAGGCAGACTAACGTAACTCATTCTTAATTGAATGAGCTTTTGTAAAATCTTATTTGCAACAAGTCAAAAATACTAATGTCTTATAATCATGACCAGTCCTGTCAAGTAACAAAATTTAGATAGCCATTATCTAAAATCAGAAAATCACTGGTATCTTATAAATAGCATTCTAAACTAAAAAGCCAAAAATAATTTAACTTGTTCACAATTCTATTTTTAACTCTACATGATGTGGAACGTGCTGCCGGACAAGTCATTTATCTTTTCTAATCTTAGGTCACATTTCCTTAAGACAAAGCTAATACAAATTGTTTCCATGTATAGTTTCTCATGTATTTGGCAATGTTGAGAAATGTGACATAATTTTAAGCACAGGTTAATTTTTTACTTAAGAATTGCCATTCCAATGAAAACAATTCCTGTAGTGCAAAGCTTTCAATGCTAGTAGAAAGAAACACATTAATAGTGGAAGAATGAAAAATAATAGAACCGTAAATGCATGGGCAGCAGTATGTTAAAGTGGTAAGGCCTGGAAGGCAGACAGACCTCAATTTGAACATTGACACTATATTTCCTCCATGTGGGGATGACAGAAAAATTAAACTGCATAAAGCCTTACTTCTTTATCTCTAAAATAGTAAGAAACACTTTTAGAGCACCTAACGTTGTGTCAGACACATGGTTGGTATTGAATAAATGTATGGTTTTCCCCTTACTAAGGACTATCAAATGAGCATGGCACCAGGTATAAGATTATGGGTCTAATGAAAAGATACACTGGAACTCTATTACACTATGACGCATGTGTAATAATTTCTGAAATTAGTAGTATTTCCATTTTATTTTTTAAATTAACTGATATTCTTTATAATATAATCACATCAAGGAAATGAAAACTTTATTACAAAATGGAATATTTTTAAAAGATGAAAAAAGCGGGAGAGAGGTCCAAGATGGCTGATCACTAGCAGCTCGGGATTGCAGCTCCCACTGAAAGAGCAGAGAACGAGAGGATGCCACACTTTCAGATCAATTTTTGTTGCTCACGCACCAGGAGATTCCCAGTGGAGGAGCTCCACGTGTTGCCAGCATGACTCTTGAGGTCGATCAGGCGGTTTTGCCGCTGCCTTGGAGCGGTGGTTCTTGGTGCAGAGTCAGAAAAGCACCATCAATCTTAAAGCCGCTGTTTTGGCCGGCGCAGTGGGTTGCTCAGATTCTAGCGCCAGGAATCAACAAGTTGGACGTCCATTCAGAAACCCAACTATAAAGACGGTAATTATAAAGACCACAGATGGATAAATTTATAACGAAGGGAAGAAACCAGCCCAAAAAGGCTGAGAATACCCAAAATCAGAATGCCTCTCCCTCTACAGGGGATCACAGTTCCTCATCAGCAACAGAACAAGGCCTGATGGAGAAAGACTGTGTTCCATTAGCAGAAGCTGACTTCAAAAAGTGGATGATAAGAAACTTCTGGGAATTAAAATAACTTGTTCTAACCCAATGCAAAGAAACTAAAAACTTTGAAAAATGGTTTGACGAAATGTTAATAATAACACACAATTTAGAGAGGAATATAAGTGAATTAATGGAGCTGAAAAATACAACACGAGAACTTCGCGAACTATGCACAAGTTTTAACAGCCGAATCGATCAAGCAGAAGAAAAGATATCAGAGGTCGAAGACCAACTTCATGAAATAAAACAAAAAGACAAGATTAGAGAAAAAAGGATAAAAAAGAACGAGCAAAGTCTCCAAGAAATATGGGACTATGTGAAAAGACCTAATCTACGTTTGACAGGTGTACCTGAATGTGACAAAGAGAATCAATCCAAGCTGGAAAATACACTTCAGGATATTATTCAGGAAAACTTTCCCAACCTAGCAAGGCAAGACAATATTCAACTCCAGGAAATACAGAGAACGCCACAAAAATATTCTTCAAGAAGACCAATCTCAAGGCACATAATTGCCAGATTCACCAGGGTTGAAATGAAAGAGAAAATACTGAGGGCAGCCAGAGAGAAAGGTCAGGTTACCCATAAAGGGAAGCCCATCAGACTCACAGCAGATCTCTCAGCAGAAACCCTACAAGACAGAAGAGAGTGGGGGCCAATATTCAATATCCTTAAAGAAAAGAACTTTCAACCTAGAATTTTACATCCAGCCAAACTAAGCTTCATAAGCGAAGGAAAAATAAAATCTTTTGTGAACAAGCAAGCACTCAGAGATTTCATCACCACCAGGCCTGCTTTACAAGAGCTTCTGAAAGAACTACTTCAAATAGAAAGGGACAACCAGTAGCAGCCTTTCTAAAAAATGCCAAAAAATAAAGAACATCAACATAATTAGGAAATTGCATCAATTAATGGGCAAAACAGCCAGCTAACATTAAATGACAGTATCAAACACACATATATTGTTATTAATTCTAAATTTAAATCGACTAAATCCCCCAATCCAAAGACACAGACAGCCAAAAAAAGCCGAGACCCATTGGTATGCTACAGTCAGATCCATCTCACATGCAAAGATACACAAAAACTCAAAACGAAGGGATGAAGAAAAATTTACCAACCAAATGGAGAGCAAAAATAAATAAATAGAAAGCAGGAGTTGCAATTTTTGCTGATAAAAGAGATTTCTAAGCAACAAAGATCAAAAGAACCAAAGAAGGATATTACATAAAGACAAAAGGATCAATGTAACAAGAAGAGCTAAAGATCACCCAATACAGAAATACCCAGATATATAAGACTTATAAAGAGACTTGGACTCCCACACAATAATAGTGGGAGACTTCAACATCAATATTAGACAGATCAATGAGACAGCAAGTTAACACCGATATTCAGGTCTTGAGCTCAGATCCGGAACAAGTAGACTTAGTTAACATTCATAGAACTCTCCACTTTAAATACACAAAATATACACTCTTATCAGTACTATATCACACGTATTTACAGGTTTAAATGAAATATTGTTTGGCTGCTTGTTAATTATTTTCTTCCCTCTCTTTTCTTTTCTTTTTTTATGTCTCTATTATTAAACACAATTACAGGCATACCCAGTTTTAGACTGCATTCTAGCTCGGGCAATAAAGCAACACCCCTGTTCTCGCTCCCTCTTCCTCTTCCTCTTTCTTCCTTTCCTTTATTCTTTTCCTTTTTTTTTTTTTTATATTCTTTTTCTTTCTTCCCCCCCCCCCAAAAAAAAAGAAAAAGAAAAAAGCACAAGGTCTTTGAAAGGTCTCAAGTAAGCTTAGAACCAAGACAGATATTCAATATATTTTGCCTTTTAAATATTCTTTATAGATTATTTTTTTAATCCCAAAAGACACATGTGGTCCTCAATCCAAATCCTGAAAAATCAAAAATGACAACCAGATGAGTATGTTTCCGCCCTTTTGTGCATGGTCATATAAATATTTACATATGATTTTTATTTTTGGTTTACATCTACTTTATATGCATACTGAAACACTTGAAAAATAACTTTGTAACAACAGAGATAAATCTAACAATGATAACTATATTTTATTATCCAAACCAAGAAAGACTGCTATTAAAAGTTGTGTTTGGAAGGCAATTTTAAACTGGAACTTCCCTGGGGAAATAAGGATAAGTAGTCGCAATAGACCAAACTCATTGCTGGTAGTTTGGTAGTAGTCAAGAATGCTATTATTCCATTACTTAGTCAATACTTTCTTAATTGATGTTCACTGAGGCTTTTTCTAGTTCTAGAGCACTTCAAAAAGCAAACAAACAAGAATTTATGTAATAAATACTCATTTTTCAATAATTATTTTCCTGCAGAATAGAAACCTGAAATCACATTGCTGAGTTAAGGAGTTTACATTTTAAAAGAAAAAGTAATACTGTTATAGCTTATTCTAGGAAAAATGTAACACTTTACACCACCCTAATGATATTTGAGAGTGATCATTTGTCCACAAGGAAAATCCTATAATTATGTGGATTGATTTGATCCTCTCTTCTAGACAAATTATGTTTTTTTGTAGTAATATTATGTTTGTTGCTGATATTTTAATTATTTTTTCTAAAGTGTTGGTATTCATTATTTCATATGAATGCAAATAAATCATCTTACCTGTTTCCTATCTAACCAGTTAGCTGGAAGTACATAGGAAATGCTGAAGTGCTGAACAAGCTGTATTAAATTCCACGCACATTTTAGAAAAAGTGACATTTTGTTTATCAAATGATAAATTATATTTCTATATTTATTTGTTTTATGTTCTTTAATACAACTTTTACATTTTTTAATATAGACTCTGGTTCTCTGTGGTTGTCATTTTTCTATTTATTTTTTAAAATGTTATATTATCATGGTAAGAACACTTAACATGAGATCATACCCTTAACACAAATTTTTAAGTGTGCAATACAATATTGTTGGCTATAGGTAGAATGTTGTACAGCAGATCCATAGAACTTATTCACCTTGTATAACTGAAACTTTATGCCTGTGGATTAGGAGTTTCTCATTTCCCATCCCTCAACCCTTCATAACCACCATTCTGCTTTTTAATTCTATAAATTTGACCACTTTAGATACTTCATATTAGTGGTCAGGTTTTGACATTCTTTAACAGGCTTATTTCATGTAGCATAATGTCCTCAAGGCTCATCTATGCTATTATACATTGCAGAATTTCCTTTTTAAGGCTGAATAGCACTCCATTTTATGCACATATTTTTAATCCATTTATCTGTCAATAGATTTCCCACATATTGGCAATTATGCATAATGCTGCAATGAACATGGTACTGCTAGTATCTTTTTGAGATTCCAATTTAAATTCTTTCAGAAAATACCCAGAAATGGGCTTGCTAGCTTATATGGTCGACTTTTAATTGTTTAAGGGACTTTCATATTGTTTTCCATAGTGGCTACACCATTTTGTGCTCCCATCAACAGGGTGCAAAGAATCCAGTTTCTCCATATCCTTGTCAAAGCTTCTCTTTTGTGTTTTTTAAATATTAGGAATGCTAACAGATATGAGGTAATATTTCCTTGTGGTTTTGATTTGCATTTTCCTGATGATTAGTGGCACTGGACATTTCAAAAATACACATGCTAGCCATTTGTATGTTTTTTTAAAAAAATTTATTTATTATACTTTAAGTTCTGGGGTACATGTGCAGAATATACAGGTTTGTTTCGTAGGTATACACATGCCATGGTGGTTTGCTGCATCCATCACCCCGTCATCTATATCAGGTATTTCTCCTAATGCTATCCCTCCCCACTACCCTCACACCCTGCTATCCCTTCCCTAGCCCCCACCTCCCCTTTTAAGAGAAATTTATATTTGAGTTTTTATCCTATTTTTAAATTGGGTGATTATTTTTAGCTATTGAATTGTAAGAGTTTCTAATATATTTTGGAGATTAACCCTTTATCAGATGAAAGGTTTGCAAGTATTTTCTCCCATAGGTTGCCTTTGCACTGGCAATTTGCTCCTTTGCTGTGCAAACATTATTTAGTTTTATGTAGTCCCCACTGGTTTATTTTTGTTTATGTTGCTTGTGATGTTGGTGTCACATCCATGAAGTCATTACCAAGACAAATTTGAAAATATTTTTCCCTATTTATTCTAAGATTTTTACAGTTGCAATTCTTACATTTATGTCTTTAATCCATTTTTTAGCTGATTATTAAGTATGGTTCAAGATATGGGTCCAATTTATTTTTAAATGTGGATATCCAATTTTCCCGAGGCTATTTTTGTAGAGATTAAATTAGTAAAGACATCCCATTTACAACAGCACTAAGAAACAATAAAATACTTAGAATAAAGTCAGCTAATGAGGCAACACACTTGTTTACTGAAAATTACAAAAAAAAAGATTAAAGAAAATTAAAGAAATTAAAGAAGACCAAAACAAATGAAAAGACATCTTATGTTCACAGATTGGGAGACAATATTGTTAAAATGTCCCTATTATCTAACTAGATCTACAGATTTAATAAAACTTGTATTAAAATCCTGCTTTTTTTTTCAGAAATAGACAAAAAAGTTTACATTTCATATGGAACCATAAGGGATTACAAATAGCCAAATCAATCTGGAGAAAGAAGAATGAAGTTGGTGTCATCACAACACCTGCTTTCAAAATACCTTACAAAGCTTCGTAATCAAAGATGTATGGTATCGCATAAAGACAATCATATACAGTAATAGAACACAATGTAAAAAATGGAAATAAATCCATGTATATATGATCAATTGATATTCAACAAGGGTGCCAAGAATACTCTTATTTTCAAATATTTATTATTATTTCCATTTCTAACTGTATACTATTTAGCTAGAGAAGCTATTAAATTTTGTATTTCTACCTTAACATTTGACATTTTACACTAAAACATTAGCACAAATTATTAAATTGTATTAATCTTTTAGATAGTAATTGTATAAATACTCTTGTTTGTATATACAATTGTAACAAGCAAACACAGATATTTGGTTCCTTTTTCAGTGTTTCTCCCTACTATTTTATACAGTTGTTGTGCATTATTTAAAACCTCCAAGGTGGTACCAGTGGATGATTTCAGACATTTTTGTCCTAATCTAGATGTTACCACTTAGTAGCTATTTCTAATTGGTTTCTGGTAAATCATTTTGTCACATTTAAGTATTTTTCATGTGTTTTCCTTTTCCTCAGAATTTTTCTTAGGATTTGCTACTAAGTTTTTGATAATGTATTTCACCTGTGTTTCTATAACTCCAATTCAACTTATTTCATTTTTTAGAAAATTATTTCTTTCTTTATACATAAAACAATCAGATTCACTCAATTAATTTTACAAATATTATAAATGTGCTTTTTAAAAAATTTTGCAGATATTCTGATGGTGAAATAATGTTTCCTCATTAATTTAGAGTTTTATGACCATTATATTATTTGCTAATGATTTTCCCTTTGTTTTTTCATCAGAAATGAATGTAATTCTCTAGTCATCAAGATCTATTCATCATGGATATTTACACATAAATTAAACAAAAAATATCAACACTTAGCATTGTATATGAGCCCGGATATTTGGGTTCCAAGATGTGCTCTAATAGTGGTTAAACATTTGTCCTCAAGTAAATAATTTATTTTTTCTAAGGTTCTGATTTGTAATAGATAAAATAAGAAGTCTGAGTAAAAGCACGGGACTCGGACTGAATTGGGTCTGAATTCTGGCTCCAACACTTGCAAACTTCTATGTATTTGTGCAAGTTACTTATGCTTTATAAGCTTTTGTTGCGTTACCTATAAAATGGGTTTAATAAACTTAACAAAGCTTTTCTTTATGATTAAATGAAATAATGCAGAAAAACACTTTAATGTAGTAAATAATTGCTACCTTACCTATTAAAATTATTAATGTGAAGATTTCTATGAAAGTAGCCAAATATACAACTCTATGACTACATATGTCAAATGTGTGCCAAGTATGTTAATATGTGGTTTCACATCTGTCAGAATATTTTTAGAAGATAATTATTTTTAAGCTTGTTTTTACTGTTAAAAAATATTAGCATGTGTCATGGGCTAAACATTTATGTCCCTTAAAAAATTCGTAGGTTGAAATCCTAACCTCTAATATGATGGTATTAGGAGGTTTCTTTTGGCAAGTAATTAGGTGCTGAGGGCGGAGCCCTCACAAATTAGTACTCGTGTAAGAGCTTGCTTTCTTTTCTCAGCCACTTGAGAATACAAGGAGAAGACAGCTATGTTTGCAAACCAAGAATGGACCCTCACCAGACATCAGATCAACCAGAGCCTTGATCTTTTCATTTCTTACCCTCCAAAACTATAAGAAAATAAATGTTTCTTACATTTTGATCCTGGAACCCATCATTCTCAGCAAACTGACTCAAGAACAGAAAATCAAACAACGCATGTTCTCACTCATAGGTGGGTGTTGAACGATCAGAACACATGGACACAGGGAGGGGACTATCACACACTGGGGTCTGTTGGGGGGAAATAGGGGAGGGGCGGGGGGTGAGGAGTTCGGGAGAGATAGCATGGGAGAAATGCCAGATATAGGTGAAGGGGAGGAAGGGGGCAAATCACGCTGCCATGTGTGTACCCATGCAACAATCTTGCAGTTTCTTCACATGTACCCCAAAACCTAAAATGCAATAAAAAAAGAGGAAAAACCAAAGTGGGGACTGTTCTAGGTAGATGAAACAGGCATAACAATCAAATACTATGTGTGAAAACTAACTGGATCAACAAAGAAAATCTAAACATAGACTAGGTCTTCAGATATTAGGGAATTACTGTCCTATTTTAAGGTATGTAATTGTACTGTGGTTCTGTATAAGATTGTCATGATTTTTATGAGATGCATGTTTAAGTATTTAGAGATGAAATGTCATATCTGTAAGTTACTTTCCAATGTTTGGTAAAAAAAAATATATATATATATGGCAAAATGTTGGTTTTTAAATCTAGGTGGGTACACAGTTCATTTTATTATTTTTAAACCTTTCTGTATATTTGAAAACTCATAATAAAAAGTTCTGGAAAATAAGGCTATTAAATAAATAAATAAATGTATGTATGTATGTATGTTTCTTGTTTAAGCCACCCAGCCCATGGTAATGCATTAAAGCAGTGTGAACTAGAACTCACCTATATTTTCCTTATAGTCACAATGTACAGTAAGTGAGAGAGCATGCTGCTGAATCTTTGAACTAAAAAGTTCATCTTTGCTTTTATTTGATGCTATAATCCTTAATATCACATAATTTTTAAATTCACCAATCAACATAATTAAATATTAACCTATTAAATTTTTATGGCAGAAAGTACAATTCCTCCTGCAAGGGATCTATTTCTCTTTTATCAACATACTCCGAATGGATCCAAGGCCTGAAAAAAGACACATATGGGATCTTGAATATATTTTCCAAAGCATTTTAGGAAAGTATTAGGGAAGGAATTCAATATTCCTTTGAACTCAAATTTAATTTCTCCTATAAGGTAACTATAAGTAATTTTGTGGAATTTCATTTGTGCAGACATTTTAAAAATAGGAGATGAAAGTTTGTCTTGCAGGATATAATGAATTTCATTCATTTCTTTAAAGCTTTGGAGTGGTTTCTATACCAATATTCCAATCTAATAACCTTGATTCGGTTCCTATGCTATCTTAAGAAAACAATCTATGTGATACCCAAACTTACTATAAAAACTTACAAGGAATGCTATGCTTTTGGAAAAGATGGTCATTGTAAACTTTCTCAGTAAATTCACCGATAACTCTAGCTACAGATATTTCTAGGCCTTGTTCTGTTAACTCTTGTTGGGCATTTATCTAATATAGTCTATGGAGGTTAATTTTAAGTATTGGTTTGTCTAACATTTTGCTTTCTCTTTCAAATGTGCTAAATTCTACTTACCTCTCTCTGTGTTAATCGACACCACATAGCTTACCCTATGATATTTGTTAAGTTCCTGGAAATCTGTAACCAAACTATCAGCTGTTTTTAAAAACAATGTTGTCAGGGGATTACAAAGGTGCATTAATTAAAAAACTAAGCTGAATTCATGTTTCTGCCATCTCTTGTGCATATGTTCTTATAATAATAATATTATTCAAAAAACATATTTCAATTTAGACACAATAGTGTATACTTTATGCACATATATTTTCATTTCTAACTGTACTGTGTAATTATTTTTCAGTGGAAGATTTCTAAGTGTTAAGGACAAAAGAATAGTCACTAAAAGCATACTTATTTTATGTTCTAATTCAGAAATTATTACTTTTTTGAGAACGCCTCAGAAAACCTTGCATTTTTGCCAGTTGCATGACTCAGTGTAGCACTTGGTAGTTGCTATAACAAACTAAAATCTTGGTTGCTTAATTCAACAAATGTTTGTCACTTACACAAAGTCCAACACAGATGTTTCTAGCTATGCTATTTTTCTGAGCAATTCCATCCAAGAAAAAAATCCCAAGGTCTAGGTTCTCACCATCATGTGATTCTGCTATTTTGAAGTACTTGACTTCCAGACAGTAAGTGAGATCATGGAAAATCATAGATTTCATGGCCAGGCAATAATATGTTCCCTCTAATCTACTAACCAGAGCCAGTTATATGGCTCCAACCCTAACCGCAAGAGAGGCTAGGAAATTTAACCTACCTCTGTACTAACAAGGAGAAAAGTAGGGGTTGTTTAGTCTCTAACTAATTTCTTCCATATAAGGCATACAAGTCTAGAACCCTTTTGAGTATGTAAAGATTGGCAATGAAAATGAAAATCCTCAGTATCTGTTATACTAAAGTTGTCCTTATTAGGATCTTGGTTTAAGGAACTATATCTTAAATGTAGTATTTTTTATCGTTTGTGCATAGCTCTGTACATTTTATCAAATTTCTTAGGGAACATTTTATTCTATTAAAGCCTTCCTAAAACTTCAGTGAAAATCAAAATTTAGCAATCTAACCAGGATTTGATATCAGAAATATCCAAGAAAAACACTATTGAGTAGTAAAAGACAGATGAGGTGCCCAGTAAATATTCACTATGATGATTATATTTCAGGGGTTATGCTACATTATTGGAAGTAGCTGTCATTTACATGTTGAAGGAGCGAATCACTGCCTACATTCTGATTTTATTTTTTATGAATTATTTTTTAAGGAATTTTTAGGGGATTAGTGTCACCAAATAATATAAACAACCAAAAGAGAGAAATGTTTATACTATAAAAGCCTAGTTGGAATTACCAGTCGCTTATAACACTGAATTTATCAGATGGAAACTGTTGTAGTTTCTAACAGTTAAGAAGAGTTTTGCAATACAAATACTAAAATTCATTAGGAAATACAATGTGATAACAAGTTTATAAAATGACATTTGTACAGGCAGAGACTTGGGCTCTATCAAAAAATACCGAAGTTTAAGGTTTACACAGAAACTTGGCCTGAAATTGTTTATAAACTTATCCTAAAAATACAGGGCTTTTTTTTTTTTTTCAAATAAGATTTGGTTTTTTTGAACTTAATATCTGACTAATATTATTTGCTAAACCAGTTAGGCTCTCCAGCATGAATTGGTAATTTACTATAAGCCAACATTTATTATAATTTTCTTTCATCTACAGTCAATTAGAATTTTGGAGCATACGAAGTATTTTCTAAGTGAAGATATACAACCTATAACTTTACATACCTGTCATCTAAAGTCCTTGCTGAAAAAAAATTACATTTAAGGCATCATAATTACAAGAGTATAAAATCAAACCTGTGAATGTTAAGATTTACAACTGAACTAATTATTGGTAACAAAATGCTGCATGTTTAGATAAATGAGAAATGTATCAAGGGCTCTCCTTGTGATAATGCTTTAAAAAAAATTCTGCCTAGCATCACTGCAAATTATGTTACTTGAAGTCAAGATCAACAATATATTTCAATATTACCTAACTGGTTTGTGGCCTCACCATTAAACTAATACCTCTAAAATTCTGGGTCAGTAGAAGTAACAGTGGTCATTAATCATCATTTTCAGAAAAGCCTACTCTTCAATAACATTTGCTATTTTTCTTGAGACAAAAATATGAGCCAATAATTAAACCCACAACTTCCAATTTAAAAATATGTAAACTCTGCCTTTATTTATTACTGGAAGAATTCATCCATCCAAATGCTTGATATAGTCATAATTTTTAAAAGTTATAATCTAACTACTAAAATAATAAGTATGTAATTAAAATTAGTTAATGTAAGAAATGTAAGATAGGCAGAAAAAGGAAGAAAATAATCACATGAGTTTACCTAGGTAAAGGAAAGTAACACAATTATATACAAAGTTGACATTGTTCTTCCTGGAAGCCCAAAAAACATAAAAATATCATGGCTTATATGATCTATAAAAAGGAAGCATAGTTTACACACAGAAATAAATTTATTCTATACATCTACTGAAAATTTGCCATATGTGAGGTGATTGAACCTAATTATTAAAAACTTTGTCACATAAAAGTTTGAGAATTTTAATAATCATTGATAGGTAAGAGCATCAGAAAACAAAAGAGGCCACTTATTTGTGGACAAATAAAATATCAGGTAACAAAAAACTATTACTATATTGACTTTCAATGTTATCAATGTTTATAACAGCATAGATTCTTTTCTACCTATTATAATCTTTTAAGAACTTAATCTTGGAGACCGTGTTTATGGTGACTCTAAAACAGAAAATCAATCCAGAGTTTCTGAAGAAGTTTGGAAATCAGTGGATTGTGAACAAATATTATAAAGTATTTATTATTTATCTAGTGAGGAACCAGAAATAATAATAGAAAACTAGCATATGATGGGAAACATCAATGTATACATTTAAGAACCTCAGTGAACACTATAAGAAGGATAAACTAAAAGATATCTGCAACAGGACACGCCATAAATTGTCAAAAATCAAAAATAAAATCTTGAAAGCAGCACTAGGAAAGTAACAAATCATTCACAAATGATATTCAGTGGTATTAACAGGAACTTTTCATTGGAAACCATAGAGGCCAGAAGGAAGAATAACATGTTCAAAGTGCTGACAGAAAGACTGTCAGCCAAGAATTCTAAATCTAACAAAACTGATCTTCAAACATAAAAAAGAAATTAAGATGTTTCCAGATAAAGACTGAGAGAACTTGTCACTTGCAGAGTTGATCTACAAGAAACAAGATCTTCAGACTGAAAAGGAAGGATAGTATGTGTTAATTCAGTTCCACATGAAAAATAAAGAGCATAAGCAGAGGTAATTATATAAATAAGTATAAAACACAGCATAAATATATATTGTAACTCTTTTCAATCACAAAAAAGAATATAGATGACTCAAACAGAATGTGGGGAATGGTAGAATTGACCTAGGAAACCAAATCTTACACTTGAGTTCAGAGTTTATTAACTATATCAATGTAATGAATCTTACTCAAAGAAAAATACGGTTCCTTACTAAATACATGTGAACATTGAAGGCCATTAATAAATATTATTTAGTCAAAGTCTAGCCAAAATTATACAATTATGGTTAAAATATATGGAATAAAATAACTACATAAAGATAATGAATTTTAAAAGTTGCTATTTAAAGGGATGTTGGATGATATACAAC